AAGAGACTCGAATTCTCCTGCCATTGGAATACTCACAAGCTCACTTGCATCCTTAGCTTTCTCGGAAAGGCCCCCTCCTTCACTGCCCAAAACCAAACACAGAGGCGTATCAGCTAACGAATCTGCAAAGGCTCGAGATAGCCCAGAAATTCTCCTTGGCCGTTGATCATTTGCAGGATGGCCGGCCAGCATCTTCATGTTATAATGGTTTCTTAGAGCATCTAAGTGGAGCCAACCACCAGAGACTAACGGGAGCTGAAAGGAAGCTCCTCGACTAGCTCTAAGCGCCTTCTCATTGAATGGATCGCAACAGCCAGATAGCAGAAAGGCACCGCCCTGCCAAAAGATGGAGGAGTTTTACTTAGTTGGAAAATTATTCCAGCGAATGGAAAGATAGATCCAATTTGTAGATGGTACTTGCTTTAGCATATTATTAATGTGCAATAGAGCCTAGAATGTTTATCCTATGTAACTTTGATAAGATTATTTTTCAGTTACAAAAAGCATTACTAGTGCTTGACCACAAGTATCAATTGACATGATCATAATCGGAACGGAACCCCTAATGAATAAAGTAGATTCGGCATCAATAAATAAACATTGTCCTTCGCAGACAAATATAATTTAGTGAAGCAGTAACCACACTGAGAATGTGAAAACGTCAAACAAATTCAGTTATACGCAGTACTAAAGAGCACAAAGGAATTGACCATTGAAGGAAATAAAGGACAATATCTCTGAAATCAAAATTAGTTAAAGTATCCCCTTACCCATCCAAATGCCATCGCTGATCTAAGTAATGTGCCAAGATTACCAGGGTCCTGCATCAATCAGTATGGAAATTAAGAAAGCCTTGACGAAAGCAATATTAGTGTCATTTAATGCATTGACAGTCATTTAATGGGTTAGTGTCAAACCAAAGAAAAGTCTAAAAAAGATTTAAGTAGCATTCCTGGTCACTGCTGATTAGCAGTCCCAGATTCTTCTGACTAGAAAAAGCAACGGATTCTAAAGGTAACTAAGATCAGAGTCCAAATTACCTGGATTCCATCAAGAACTAGAATTCGATGAGCATTCTGGAACCATCTAGTGCAGTCTTCCTCTAGAAACTCATCATCAACACTGTGAAATGTTGAGGGTATTTTCATTAACGCAATCATTTCAATAGAATCAATGGACTGTAAACCAGAGAGTTTCTTCATCACCGTTGAGCTGATGCGTACAACGCGAACTGATTGAAGATTTAGGTCGTCGGGTACAGAAGCTTCATCAAGTACAAGTAAGCATTCAAATGTAATAGGTCTCTCTTGTACTCTTTCTTGAAAACAATATATTTCCCTGAGAAAGGTCAGATAAATGAGTTTAATCAGCACCAAGACAACATTGTCTAAATCTGGACTAATTCTAGAGATTTCCCTTCTACTTATCAATTTTTTACAGGAAGATATACCTCTTCAAAGATCAAACTTTCAAATGACAAACCAAAAAGTATCTCTAGGCTCTAGGGCCACGTCGCTCAAAATTTCAAATAAGCGGATTGAAGAATGCAAATAAAATAAAA